CTGCAGGGTTTTACAAAATCTTCCGTCCAACCAGGCATAGTCAAAATTAAACTGTTTAGGGGCCTCCCTGGTGGTGCAAGGGGTTAAGTCACAGCACTATGAAGCTTTCCGCAGCCACTGCAGCATGAGATCGATCCCCGGCCAGGCAGCTACCAACATGGCACAGCAGACCTCTCCTGTCTCCCCGCTGCTCCCCTCAGCAGTGGATTTCAGTACATCTGCCTGTTCTGCTCCCCACTCTGTCTCTGGTGAATGCTCTCAACTCCCACACCTCTGGCCTACACCCCAGTTCTTGTATGCATAAATAAATAAATCTTTTTTAAAAAACTTAAAAAGTTAAACCCTTTAAAGACCGCTCCTTCACAGACCACATGAGAAGCCATTTTGAACGGAGAGGCTGTTTATGATGTGCTGAGTAAATCCCAGCAGACTCTGCTGTTGGAAAGTTGGCGAAGGAGCACATGTGTTCAGATAATACAAATAAGAAGCAAGACACATGTGGACCTAGCAACTGCCAGCTGCTCTTTAAACTATTCACAGGGTTTAAACTCTTTAAACACTTTTCATCCTTGTAATCCGTCTAAGGGGTGCTATTAGGATCCCCATCTTGAGGGTGAGGAAACTGAGTCACAGTTAAGAACTGGCCAAGGCATCAACACATGTCAGGCCTGGACTCGGCTGTGCTGGTTCCAAAGAACAGGCCCCAGACACTCCACACGCCTCTTCAGACTCAACACTTCATGTGCGATTCCACAATATCAACCTCTTCAAAACAGATGCGACCTTTATACATTTCCTCCTCTTACCCACCCATCTCCAATCCTCATTTTGAGCCAAATTAAAAGAGATGTTTCAATCTCTCTTTTACTTTTAACTGAATCCCCTGTTGTTTTTCTTCAAACACTTGCAAAGCCACTAGTTCCATGAGTTGAAAAATGCCAGTACAGTCTCTATAGAGGAAAATAGATCTTGTTCTGACAAAAATTACTCAGAGCCTGATGGGTATCACCCAGACCATCCCCTGGCAGCCTCTGTAGTCTGCAGGCATCTATCTCATCTCCCGAGTCTCTAATGCAGCCTCCAGTTATGTGCTAACAATTGTGCCTGCAGCCATGCGCTATGGACGTCAGGGATATGGTGAAAAATAAGAGCAAAGTTGTTGCAGAAACAGGCAAGACCTACATGCCAGCTGATGTTTCCAGCTCTGTCAATGTGTGCTTAGGCCTCTTTTTGACCTACTGAAAGAGCAGCATGTGGGAGGGAGGCTTCTCTGCCACCATCTCAGAGCCAACAGCAATGCACAAAAGAAACCAGCTGTGGCTCCAAACCCAGATGGGAACATCGCCAAGCAGCCAGGTATCACACCAGCTCCAGGAGTCCCTGCTGACGCCATGGACACCGTCACCTGCTTGATACTCACACTTGACAGAAGTTAGGTTTTCATCATCTGACCTTGACAAAGTTGAGTTGAAGTTCAGTAAGTGACTTGATGCAACTATCGCCTAAACCTTTACCCCAGTGTTCTCTATCCACACAGAAATATTCTGCTTTAGTAACACATAATGCATTTCATCTACTGGAGAGCTTTGTCAGCCGAGCAGCAGTATGAAAATGTGGGGTGGGCCCCTCGTCCCACTTTAAATCGATTCACCTTCCTCATTGGGCTCTCTTTGCCCATTTGTAGAAGCACATGGAAAGAGAGAGCAGGAATGTTGGTGAAGCACAGCCTCTGGAGACCCTCTGGCTGGGATGAATTAGAGCTTTGTAATTCCCCGTGGCCAAAACTTGGCCGTGCTCTTGAGCCTCTGCGAGCTCCAGGAGCCTTCTCTGTAAAATGCAAATGAGGAAATAAAACCTGCCTTAAAGGTTGCAGTGAGGATTGATTAGTGTATGTAAAACTCGCAGAACGTTGCCTGGCACACAGTAAGTGCTGGATAAATGTTAGCTAGTCTAACACATCCTAAAGATTGCTTCCGGCAGGGAATTTCTGTGCTTTTCTGAAATAAAGGCACCAATTTAATCTCTTAGAAAGACAATTATATAAAAAAGTTTGGCCTATGGTGTTTCCTTTCAGGTGGGAACATGAAATCAGCAAGCAGGGCATAGGTAAAGTCCATGGTCCCTTACTTAACATCATCCAGTTGGGTGAGCATATTGTATATTGAAGAAACCAGAACCTTTGACGGTGGAAGTGACACTATTAATAATTTCAATGGGATACTAGACGTTCATGGGACTGTCCAAGACAAACCAATATGAGTTGTTTGTTCTCTGATTGGTGTGTTCCAGGACTCTCCCTTGCAAACAGTTCACTTGCCTAGGGGCTGGGGTTGCCCACTTTTCTCATACTGATTTCAAATTTTCCTGGCACCTGAGATTCCCAATAGTATAGTGATCCCCTAAACTAGAAATAAAACCCATTTTTTTTGGTAAAAGTTACACACTTTCTGCTTTATTAATTCCACAGCTATTCTAAATTACAGATTCCACTAAACAAAAGAAGTGGCATGCTCTTCTTGACCTTATAAAAAAAAAAAATGAACTCAAAACCTAACACAGACTAAACTCTCCAATATGAAACTGTTATAGGGCAGCCCCGATATTGAATGGGTTGCCTGGCTGTGGGTCCTCACCCACACGCTTAAAAGGGACTTATGAATACTCCACTACAGGCACACACAAAAGGTTAATAAAAGGTTTATTTACAAGGGAAAAGGAAAGAAGGAAAACGTACAACTCAGGGAGAAAATAGGGAAATAAAGTCTTTAATGCATCCTAACAGATCCGACGACCTGGAAACCCAAAGGCACTCTGAGAGCTGGCCCGACGCTGCGAGCTGGCAGAGAGCCAAAATGGGGGAACCCCTCCAAAGCCCATGTGTCTGGCTTTATACCCACCTGGCTGCTTAACCCCACCCTCAGGTCCCAGCCACCTTCCCTTTGGTGGTGATGGGATTTGGAGTTCCCAGTGTCTTTGGCTTTGGCCTGGGGTGGGGGTGGAGTCCACAAAGCCTCTATGGAATTAACTTTAGGACAGCCTTTGGGAGATCTTCCAGACCTAGGATTAGGTGGAGAGTTCCTTGACTTGACACCAAAAGCATGATTCATAAAATGGGGAATGATCAATTGATATCATCAGAATTGAATACTTTTGTTCCCTTGAGAGGCCTTGTTAAGAGAACAAAGAACAACTATGGAAACAAATCTAAATATCCATAATGGATGAATGGATTTTAAAAGATGAAAACGAAGTATATCCTGCATTTCAAACATGGATGGACCTTGGGCAGATTATGCTGAGCAAAGTCAGAGAAAGATCTCACCAAACTAAAAGTGATTCTAAGAGTCAAATCCATAAAAAAAAAAATTGAGTAAAATGCTGGTTACTAGGACTGGAAGTTGGGGGGAGATTGGGGATTGAAGGTTGTTAAGGGCACAAGCTTGCAGTCTTGAATAAGCCATAGAGAGTGAACACACAGCAGAGAATATAGAACATAGCATATTATAATTATCTAATGGGATAAATATCACAATAACAATGATATTACAATATATAGATGTAGCAAAGTAACACATTGTGCACCTTAAAGTTACACAACGCTATATGTCAAATTTACTCAATTAAAAAAAGAACAAATTCAGAGTGGGAGAAGGATTTGCAAATCACACATCAAACGAATGAATGCTATTTAGACTACATCAAGAACTCTCAAAACTCAACATTATCCACCAATAGATGAATGAATAAACATCAAGGCGTACAAGCATACAATGGATTTCCATTCTACCTTTGAAACAATGGAAATTGACACATGAACTTTCAGAACATTATGCTAAGTGAAATAAATCAGCACAAAAAGAAATACTGCAGGGATTCCATTTACATAAGGTACCTAAAGTCATCAGATTCAGAGAGACTGAAAGTAGGATGTTGGTTGGGGGAGCTGGGGGGAGGGAGGCCTGTGGAGTTGTTTAATGGTTATAGAATTTCGAGCCCTTGAAGATCTGGAGCTGGGTCGCACAGCACAGTGAATGTACTTAGCATTACTAAGCTGTACACTTAAAATGGTGATGATGGTAAATTTTATGTTATGTGCATTTCAAACACATTTAAAAAGAATCCAATTTTCTTTTTTTTTTTTTTTAAGATTTATTTATTTATACAAGCACTGGGTATAGTCAGAAGCGCGGGAGGGTGAGAGAATTCACCAGAGCCAGAGCGGGGAGCAGAGCAGGCAGAAGGACCAAGTACACTGCTGAGGGGAGCAGCGGGCGGCAGGAGAGGTCTGCGCGCCATGTGGGACCCTCCTGCGGTGGCCGGGGAGCAGCCGGGGATCGAACCGGGGATCGAACCGGGGATCGAACTGGGGATCGAACCGGCGCCGCGGAGGCTGCGGGCAGCTTCGCAACCCAGCGCTCAACCGCTGCACCACCGGGGAGGCCCAAAAGAATCCAATTTTCAAAGGAACAAAGGACATGAACCAACATTTCATTGAAGAGCATCCAGAGATAACCAAAAAAGCACAAGAAGTACAAGGAGCACTGGGGAAAGGTTGCTTACACAGAGACCTGAACGCAGTGAGCTACGGAGACTGCAGCCACTAGTGCACAGTGACAGAACATTATGGTCCCGTACAGGGCAGGGTGAGGGGTACCCCAGGAACTCCCAAACCTGCCTGCTCTAAGTAAGTTCTGCCATCCACTGCATCACAACAACATACTCTAGTACATAGACCTTTAAAGCAAAGGAACTTTTCGTACAATAAAGAGAAGACAAGGGAAAGAAGAGGTAAAATAGTTTCCAAATCAAGCACCCAAAGTTACCCATCCCCTCGTGGGCAAAAGTCCAGCCCAACATGGTTGGCCCAAAGCAGGGTCAGAGGTCAGAAAGCCTCTCACAAGGCACCTCCTGGTGGGGACCCATCGGAAAGGAGCAGAAGGGGAGAGAAGGAGCAAAATCAAGATAAGAGCTGCCATTGTCACCTCCCCACGGTCTCTCACCCACGTCTGTGTCAACCAGTCCAGGACCAAAAGGCAAGCGCAGCTTCTTCACGTGTCTCTCCGCTCCACATGCCTCCTCCAGGTCTCCTTCTGCTCCCCAACCTTCCCCCTTCCTTCTCCCTAGCCCCCTCTCCAGCTTCTCTTCCTCCCCACTCAGCCCCACCCTGACCTGGGGCAGGGAACTTGGAACCTCCCTTTCCCTGGGGACCACCCTGTTACAGCCCCAGGGTATCCTGAGGAGGCCTGTACCCACCAAGCAGAAAGGAGCACCATCTTTTGTTTTGTTTTATTGTATTACATTTTACTGAGGTAAAGTTGGTTTGCAGCAACTCACCTGACTCAAGTGAAAGCTCAACCACTTGCGACCACCCCGCAGCCACCACCAAGGCTGCCACAGTTTGAAAGGAGCACAACTAATAATTTCAACAAGACGACAAACTGACTGAGACTCACAGACAAACCTATTTGAGTGACTAAAGTTAATTCTCATCTTCACAACAATACTGAGGCCTGGGGAGTGTGGGGAAAAACTGGATCTCCCACACATTGCTAGTGGAACATAAAATGAGCTGCCACTCTGGAAAACAGGTTAGCAATTTGTTTAAAAATTAGAAGTAAAGGTAGCCTACAACCCAGTGATGGCCCTCTTGGGAACTGGTCCTAGAGAAGTGAAAACTTATTTTCAGGAAGAGGGTTGTTCAACAGGGTGAAACAATACAGTGGAATATTAATCAGTCATTAAAAGGGACAATCAAGACTGTTGCAAAGATACGGTTTTAAAATGATTCTGGGATTGGGCCTCCCCGGTGGCGCAGCAGTTGAGCGCTGGGTTGCGAAGCTGCCCGCAGCCTCTGCAGCGCCGGTTCGATCCCCGGCTGCTCCCCGGCCACCAGAGGCGGGTCCCACATGGCGCGCAGACCTCTCCTGCCGCCCGCTGCTCCCCTCAGCAGTGTACCTCGGTCCTTCTGCCTGCTCTGCTCCCCGCTCTGGCTCTGGTGAATTCTCTCACCCTCCCGCGCTTCTGACTACCCAGTGCTTGTATAAATAAATAAAAATAAATCTTTAAATAAATAAATAAAATTTTTCTGGGATCACAGTAAGTTTAAAAATGCAGAAACCAAGACCCCCATACTAGAAGAAAGACCTGCAGGGACTTAGCAAGAGGGAAAATAACCAATGTGTTAGGAATATTGAGGTGGATTAAGATAGTCATTTCCATTCTTTTTCCAGAAGGTTCTTTGCAGTTATTCCTATATCTTACATTTTTTAAATAGGAAACTCAAACTGGAAAATCACTTACAGAATACAACCATTCAGAGGGACTTCTTGGGAGGGTGGGTCTTGGGTTGGGGGAGCCCTACTGCCCTGGCCCTTCCCACTGAGAACATTCACCAGAATGATCTTTATCAAATTAGCTGGGGCTGGTGCCAAGGGCCTGAGGGTGAGGACTCCAGGAGACAAAGGCACCCAGGGAGGCAGCAAAAAGCCAGAAACAACACAACCCCCACCCTACAAGATTTATTTATCGAGTAGACCCAGAAAAGGACCTTTAAGAAAAAAGGGTAAAAAGATGAATAGAAAGAGAAGGGCCAGCTCCAGGCACAGAAGGCAGAGTTCATGGAGTGATATCACTCAGAGCCCGCAAAAGAGGTGGGACTGGGGAAGAATCAGGAATCTGAAAGGGCTGAGCCCAGGGAAGAGACCCCCCCCCCAAGGAAGCATCTCCTGGAAAGGTAAGGAGGGAGGGAGAGCATCACAATTCCTATTTTCAGCTGTACAGCACAATCATAGCGAATCTTACATTTCTAACAACATAAATAATTACAAGAGATAATAATATCCTTTGTTAACACAATTCATTATTCTTTTAGTTATTTTGATTTCCATGCACAGCCTGTAAGCCTGCAGGGGACCTTTTTAAAACCAAACTATTAATTACCCCTTCCAAATGAGGGAAGGAGTAGAAGCACAAATTCAGAAACAAGTAGTATCACTCTGATGAGAGGATCTGTCCAAACACACCACAGGCCACTCTTTCAACTGTGCCCCATTAACATCCCAGGTTGACTTGAGGGCTGGTTGGGGGGAGGCACTGTATTTAGAGGATCTGAGGAAGGATCAAGTCTCTAGCTCGTTGCAAAGTTACTACTTAATCGCTCTGAACTTCAGTTTCTTCTTGTGAATGTTGTGAGGATGAAATGAGACTGAAATACACACACAGCAGCAGCCGAGGGTTCTGAATGTATTAGGCCCTCAATAAAATGCAAACCCTCACTCCTTTACTTTCCTGTCTCTACCTTCTTTTTAAGATTTATTTATTTATGCATACAAGAATTGGGGTACAGGCCAGAGGCACAGGGGTGACAGGATTCACCAAAGACAGAGTGGGGAGCAGAACAGGCAGATCCACTGAAATGCACTGCTGAGGGGAGCAGGGGGGAGACAGGAGAGGTCTGCTGCACCATGTGGGTAGCCATGTGGGGATCAAACTTGTGCTGCAGTGGCTGAGGATAGCTTCATAGGTTGCGTCTTAACCCCTTGCGCCACCAGGAAGGCCCTCCAGTCTCTACCTTGCCTGGCCCTGCCCAAATGTAGCAGAATGTACCCACTGCTCTCTGAACTCAACTATACACACAGGCAGTCTCCTATTGCAAGCTCTTAGGACGCTCTCTGAGGTTTATTTTGTTGGGATGGGGTGGGGAGGGGGCTTTCTTTTTGATGTGCCTTCAGCAGGCATGAGGAAGGTATGAGAACAGTCCTCAATCATTGCATACAAGAGCTGCGGGATAAATACCTGCATTTTCTTGCCTCCCCAGAGCACAAGACCAAAGTGTATTCTATGTCATCTCCTGGATGTCCTCAATAGGAATGCACCCCGTAACCACAGCAGTAACTTGAACGTAACACCCTGTATTGGTTTTATTCCCTTTTCTGTCTCAAGTTCCCATTCCCCTGATGATTACCCTGGCATCATCACCCAAATAAACTGCTTGTACTCAAATCTTTGCCTGAGTCAGCTTTCAGTGGAACTCAACCCAAGACACAGCCACCCAGCCAAGTATCATGTCCCTTCTCCTCCTGAATGGATAAGACACACTCAACATCTCACTTAGGAAGCAACATATATATGTGCTACATCAATATGGAATGCATATTGTTTATGCATAGAGTGTTACTTTAATTTTCAAAATTTAATTTACAACAAAAAAGGATCTCACTTGAGATTGGTCAGAGTCGCATTCATCCACTGCCTGCAATATTTCAACATTGAATCATTCTAAGCCCTTGCAATGTGGCTTTGGCAAACAGGATTCTGCAGAAACTCTGTTCTCAAAAGTTTCCAACAATCTGTTAATTGTAAAATCAGTCTTGCAATTCTTGTCAACTCCTGCAGAACTCAACACTCACGTCAACTTTTATTTGAAACCTTTTTCTTCCTGCTTGTTTTGAAAGCAATTGCCTGGTTTTTCTAGCTCAGTCATTTCTTTCAGATCCTTTTCTGGATCCCTTTCAATGTTTGCTGCTGAAGTACAGACTTCCACCCATTCATGTATCCAGAATTTGCTTCTCATTTGACACTCTCCTCTTAGACAACCTTACCCACTTTGAAAGCTCAGATCTCTACCTTCTACAGATGACTTCTGAATCTACATCTTTAACTCTGCCCTCACTCCTCTCTGCTGAACCCCACCAACATCTCTGCAGAGAAATTCTCCCTGTTCCTCCTCCTTGTGATCCCTGCCTCGAAATCACTTCCACCTCCCAGCTATGCTTCATCTGAAGTCCTCCCTTTTATGTGGTTCCCTGGAAAAAGTTACCCTTATACATGTCAGCTCTTTCAATTACCATTAGTTCAGAGCTTCATAGTCCAACCAAGAATAATGTAGTGGCTTCCAGCTGAACTGATGTAGCAGTCCATTGCTCATTACACATTCTTGTATATAATCGTAGAGCAGGTCTCAATGTGGTGAGTATGACCATTATCCTCTCTTTACAGGTGAAGATATTAAAATTCAAAGGGGTAAGAAGCTTGTTCAATGTCACGCCAGTCAGCATGTTTCCAGCGCAATCCTGGCAGAGCAGAAAATCAGCTAGAAAAGTTGTGAAGATTTTCCACCATGCTAGGCTAGATTTTGAAGTCTTTTGTGCATTCTATGCATCACAGGAGTACCAACTGGATCCCAGGTACAGCCCCAACGAGGTTGAAATCACAGTTGGAGCATGGATGGGGCATGGATTTTGGACTCTGGCCTGGGTTTCGTCCACTTTGCTACTTACAAGCTCCTTGGCCTCGAGCAAATCAATCATCTCTCCAAACCTTCATTTCCCCACCTGTAAGATGGGACTATAAATTCTACTTCAGAGAACAGTAATGAGGATTAAATGAAATACTGGGAAGAAAGTATCTAGGATGCGCCTGGCATATTATAGGTGCTCTGTAAATAGTAATTATCATGATTATTATTCTGTCAAGCCATTCTAAGCCAACTAAGAAAACAGAAGTAAATATAGTGAGATGTTGCAAGAACATGAAAAATAAACTACTTTTTTCCAAATATAATTTTAGAATAAATAAAACATCCAAGGCAAGATCTCAAACCCGAACTTTGCCTAGCAATCCCAAACGAAGGAATCATGTTCAGAAAGCAGAACAGAGCAACACAATGCTTCATTTGGCTGCACATCGATTTACAAATCATCACCATTGTCTCTGAAAATTAAGAAGAATAGTCTTCATTTGGTTTGGATTCTGCATGTCTTCACAATTTTCACAAAAGTTTCTCTTTTCTTCCACTTACAAAAAAAAAAAATCATTTTGGATCATTTGTAAAGTGCAGTGACAGAGCTGGTCTGGGCGCTCACAGGTCACAGGGAAGAGCAAGGCCCCATGCTGCTGTCCGTAGACAGTCCTGGGTAGATCTTTTGCTTGAACGAAACCCACATTCCAACTCATCAATGGCCAATTCACTTCCTCAGTAGCAGATGGGAGCTGAGAAAGGGCTTTCAAACTGGAAAAAGTTGATGTAATAATGGCCTCTATGTGGGATAAGGAAGACATCAACAGAAATGTTGTGAGGTTGTGAGATTCCATTAGAACAGGA